TTTAAAGTACAGTGAAAGATCTCTCTGCTCCCCACCCAGCATCAGGCTCCACCACTGTTAAGCGCTCCAAGACGCTATATAAATACAGGTTGTTGTTGTTGGAATAAATTCATTGGCCATATTCTTACATAGACAAAAAAGTAAAGAAAGGAAACCAATCTTTATTCTTATTTTTTGGGCTAATGTCCAATAGGCAGTCCATAATAGCTATTAACAAAAATGTTACATATTTCACAGGGACATGGGTGTTAATGTCATTAAACCACAACACCAAAGGCAAGTGCTTTGCTAGTAGACCTTTCTGGCTTCATCTGAACGGGGCTTTAGGCACTCAAGTGTGAAGCCACATCACATACATCAGACACTGAAAACAAAGAACATCCACCCTTTCAAAATGTGTTAACGTCCTCCAGAAAACACCTTTCGGAATGTAGATCCCGTCTCCCCTCCCTATCTCACTTCCCCCCAAATATCCGTATCCAGAAGATACCCATTAAAATTTGATCCTAATCTTCCCAGTTAAGCAGCAATTTTAGTCAGTTAAGGCAAGTAAATGTACACAATAGTCTAGAGAAACTTTGTCTCCTAGCAGTTGTGTTAGAAATAGTTTATCTTCCTGACAGATCCCTCAATTTGATTCATGTATTTTATCTACAAAATAGTCACACTATGGTATGTCCTATGAAGCACTTTGAGACATCATTATGACGGGAAAGGCGCCATTTCAGATGCAAGGATTATTTATTATTTGTAAAACCCCAGAAATTATTTTTGTCCACATATGACAACCAGTGCAGTTCACTTTCATAAACTGAGATGAGAGACACCAGAGATGTTTTCACTAGAACAGAGTAGGTTGACAGGAGATGTGATATCAGCGAGTTAGTAACCAGAAGCCATACGTTGAAGATTATCAAATATACTAAGGGAGATATTAGGAGAAATACTGTATATTCATGCAGAAGGCTATTATAATATGGAATGCTCTAGCCCAAACCTGTGTGGAAGAAGAATCCATAATAGCTTTACGGAAATTATGAAAAAAGAAAAATAGAAGAGTATGGTGGGGGAAAAAGGGCAAGGGAGTGACGCAAAATGGATAGCTCTTACAGACAGCTGGCACAGGCAAGGTTGGCCAAATTGTCTCTTTCTGTGCTGTAAAATTCCCCTCCTAATATCAAAGTTTCTTTAAATGAAAGCCTTTTATAGAAGGTCCACCAAAATTTGACAGAAAGAAATGAAAGGCACATTTGGAAGATGCCATTTACAGATGTGCAAATACTGCTTTCACCTCCTCTTTCAATAAAATGCCACCCAATCTAACATAAATAGTTCTATACATGAAGAATTATTTATTCCATAAAAGCACACTTTACACTCCTGTGAAATAGAGAATTACAGACCAAACCCACAAAATTGCAACACATCAAAGGGGAGGACACCAAAGATTTATCATCAAATGCACGGTTATCGGTTATCTGCAGCAACCATTTTGTTCAACTTCTGGACATGTGAAAACCCTTTTATCCTAATAGCAGCATCGGGGAACTACAGCTCTGTATATCAGCACCACTCTCTGTTGACACTCCTGCACGGAGCTTGTAGCTAAAACGTATTATGGAACTCAGCAAAAAATCACCACTTGAAGACAATACATTAAACAATACATAGCGTTGCAGTCTAGAACTTCACATTTTGCTCTTTAATGTTGGTTGCTTCATCAGCTAGAAAGAAGAAAACTTTTTTCACAGGTGCTTGTCACGTTGAAATGCATCAAAGTACTTTACATTACTGTGATGTCCAATGAGTATCTTTGTAGGCAAGCAAGCGGCTGCCATTTTGGCGCAAAGCAAGGTCTCATAACAGCCATGAGTTGAAAAACAAATTTTATTTGGACAATTGTCAACTAAAAACAGAAGAAATGCCTTTCCCTTTTGTATAGTGCCCACCTGAGGAACAGTGTAACCTCTGATACTGCAGTTCTTTCTCCTTCTCTTCCCACCCCGCTCAGCACCGCACTGGTATCAATCTAGACTGTCAACTCAACCACAAACTGGGACAAGCCAACACCCACATTTGCACTGTGTCCTCAAAAACAAACCCACAATCCTGAAGAGGTTGCACAACAACAATATTTTTCAAGAGTCAGCCACTCAGATCAGTTTAAAAATAGCATCAAGTTCTTGTTTTTGTTCTACTTCAATAATCGCACTTTTTACTTCAATCATCACACTTTTAAGTCAGATGAGCCCGCTGCTGCTATTCCAACGCCTCTTCTTTCACTATTGTGGCTCGAGTGACATTTCTCTCCATCTGTCGGTACAAACTGGGGCAAGTCTATTAGCCACCTCAATGCAATTCAATCTTTGTGGTTTGAAGCAACTCTTACGTTTGAAGCCAAATAAAGGAGTAAGGTTTCCAGTCAGAGATTTAAAGAGCGCCGTGCAGCAGTATCTGCTACAGAGCAAGAATTCTCATACTCTTTCTTGTCTGCGGTTAATGAACTGACGTTTGCTAAAATATAACATGCCCACGCAACCTTTTTGCTGCAAATATTTTAATGGAAAGTACCTAATAATGCTTGCATTTGACAAAGCACCTTTCACATTGGTAGAAAGTCTTTGAAGGGTAGTGACTGTATATTTTGTAGCCGAACATAGCCTTAAAATGGTTCACATAAACAAGAGAATAGCTGTTTATACAACACAGTATAATGGTGTTGCACAAGAGAACCATGGCTAACTCAAAGTTCACTGGGGGTGGAAGGGACATTCACGTTTGGTAATATCATTTCTAACTGTGGGGAGAAAAGGACAAATTATTTAGTTATCGCTCCCTCACAACCATTTGATAGCCATATAAAAATAAAGGTAAAAGCTCAGCAATACCATTAGTCAAATATTGTACAACTGTTACTGCTTTTCTAAGTATTCCTGCAAAGAACTTTAATACCCTTTGGCTGCATGCGCTCCTTTTTAATTTTTTTTATATGGCCCCAATAATAATAATCCTTGCATTTGATATAGTGCCTTATCACATTGTTGAGATGTCCCGAAGGCTTCACAGAATATACTGTAAAGCAGATTGACTGTTATTTTGTGGGTGAAACGCAGCAGCCAATTGCGCAAAGCAGTACCCCACAAACAATCATACATTATTATTATTATTATAACAAGAGTCAATACAATTAGGCTGCATAGTAGTTCCTAACTCGGAATACAACCATCGCCACAAATCTTCCACGCAAAGTGGTGAAGGTAAGGTCAGCCAACGGGAAACGACATCACAAGCCATCATTGGCGTTGAAGTTATCAGTTAGCCAGAGGAACCATTTAAGCCCCGCTCTTTGTTGGTGGTGCCCACAGAACCAAAGATGGCCCAGGCCTCTGGTGGCAGCAGCAACCCTTTCTATCTCTTCTGACAACTCCTCATCATTGCAGCAACAACCTGGCACAAATGTAGCTGCCATTCTCGGCTCACAGACAAAACAAACTGAAGGTAAAGCAGCAATCTGGTCAACTTATTGGAGAGAATCTCTAGGTTTTTTGCAGGGGCCGCAGCAGGAGTATGTCAACAACTGATCTGAAGAAGATGGTTGAAGTCACATCTCAAGTCCTCTATTCATGGATAGGAATTAGTGAGGCGGGGAAGTAAAATGCAGAAGCAATTGAGACCTGTATTGTAAGATGCTTCCCTCCTTGACCCTTCATACTAGGCAAAGTATATTTTGTCTCCCGGACACAGTTAGGTTGCCACTAAGTTTTGAAATGCTCCAGATACTCTGTAAATTATAGATCATTGGGGAGATCTACATTATGGACAATCAATCACTGGACCTGAACCCAGTTCATGGTTCAGGCACTGCAGTTTGACTTTCTGCACTCATTGAATGAACACACATTTAATGGGCCATCTTAACTTCCCACATGGAATCCTGCAGTGGAAAGATCAGGGCAGGATTCTTAAAGCGTCACAATCTAAAGTTGAAAAGCCAATTTTCCACAAAATCTAAAAAAGTGGAAAACCTGCTTCCAAATTAAAACTGAATTTAGGATCTGCACAACCTCAAAGCCAACACCATGAGGATTTCCAGGTCTCTGTTCTCTGATCCTTGGTCTAAAATAGCTACTGCGATTTCCAAACTGAAATTGGGAGTGTATCGAATCATCCAATGGGGAAATACAATTCAACAGCTAAGAGAATAGTCATGTACCCTGTGTGACCTTCACAGATGCAGGACTCAAGTCTTCATAAGATCTGGCCTTCCAAGTCCTGCCAATGACCCAGGCTAGTTGTGCTGTCATCAACAGTATCCTGGAATACTGCGGACCCGCCTGGTTCAGGAACCAGACAACTGAGACAGCCACAGAGGGCTGGCTTCATTCCGACATCCCATTGCCAGGCATGGTACGTTGGAACCATTTCAGTTCCAAGGAGACCCCCCACTGCCCAGAAAAAAAGATCTTTTTGTTTCATACAATTGTAATGAAACCACGAGTGCTGCGGATATGAGATTGAATTGGCATGATGATGCCCTGAGTTGGACTTTGCAAAGATGATGATCAGTAGTAGTAATGAATCCAGGACGTATTCACCGCTGCATCTTTCAAGCTAACACAACACATTAATAATCTCTCTGGCACGGCCTAGCCAGCATTTCTATGATGGCCCACCCGCACACCTCACTTCCACGTGAATATTCAGCCAGAAGGGGGAGAGAGAGAAAAGAGAATATTAGTAGAAATCTCAGTAAAGTTAGTTTTTTTTAAAAAAAACACGCGTTCTGCGAATGGGAAGACTGCCTCTAAAACTCATGAAAGAAAATGTTCAGTGAAGATGATTGTGTATATCAACTGAAGTCCAGTCTCCGAGCCAGCTCTCTTGTAGAGAGAACCTTTGGAGACCCACTTTTAACACCAAAGCAAAATATTAGCATTGAGCAGATGTAATAGAAAGGGCTCTAAAAAAGTGGAAGGGCTTTCCCGAGACGCATGTCTTACCCGAGTCATCTTAAGAAAGTCCAAGGACGGCCGAGTCCACCTGACGTCCTCCTCCCGTCTGCGCTTCAGCCCACATTTGCGCTCGTTCAGCACGCAAGGCTGCGAGCGACACCGCAGCAGTCCTTGCCGGCGACTCAGCTCTGGCGTGGATGTAGGAGTGCTGTTTGCTGACGGCAACAGGTTTGTTGTCTCTGCAATGTGCTCCTGCGAGAGGGAGAGGCGGCGCCTGGGGTGAAAACCAAAGGGACCAGCAGAGTTCCAGCGGACGCTCGATGTGCTCCCCTCGCTACTGTCCACGAAGCCGCTGCTGGCAGACGAGGGTCTGGGTACCGGAGATGTGTTGAAGCTGGTGATGCTGAAGATGCTGCTGTTTAAAGACAGGGTGTGTTTGCTGGTGAACTGGAGCAGGTTGATGCTGGTGCTTCTTTGCAGGGTGGCACTTCCGTGGCTGTTGCAGCGCTGCAGGGTGGCACTGCCCCCGCTGTTGCACCGACGCTTGGAAACGGGAGTCCAGACCTTGGAGCCACTGGGTTTCCACGGAGACCGGCAACGCGACAGTTCGTCAGGCTCCGAGAGGGAACGACAGTGTCGTTTGGTGGGCGGTGCCAGGGGTGTGTTGGCGTTCTCGTTCAGACTCACCTCGCTGATCCAACCAGACACCACTGAGCTCCTGGTTGGCTCATTCTGCCACTGCAAGCCAACATGGTCTGCCAGACCGTGGGTAAATGCACACGACGAGAAGGGAAAAGCCACATTGCGGTTTGCCTCTGCTTTTTTCGGACAAGTCCTGTTTATAACTCCCCACGGACTTTCCTCTGTGAATAGAAGCAAACACACAATCACCAAACTGCTCAGCATTATCCCATTTCCATTAAGAGTGACTGAGCCATGGAGTGAATGAGCAATTTTATCTGGGGGTTGCTGGCCAGGACACCAGGAGAAACTCCCTTTCTGTTCTCAAATGGTGCTGTGGGATCTTTAATGTTCACCTGAATAGGCAGGTGGGGTTTAGTTTGATACTTGCATCTTTCATGTCAATACAATGCAAAACTGCCTATTTTGTATTTGTAGGTGACTGTGGCATCCAATTTGAGAATAGAAATGTCCCATAAACAGCCATGAAGTGAATGACCAATTAATTTTATCTGGAAGATTGTTGGACAGAACACCCAGAGAAACTCCCATCTTTGAATAGTACCATTAATATCCACCTGAACAGGGAGACGGGAACTCAGTTTATAAGGAAGACATAGCCAACAATCCAGGACACCTCATTCTTACATTGGAGTGCCCTCCTACAGTACGAGTTCAAAACTCCCAACCTGGGGCTTAAACTCACAATGTCCAGTCTCAAAAGTGAGTGCAATCACCTAAACCAGGCCAAAACCTGATTGAGATGTAGTGCACATAATTCAACAAAGTCCTTAGCTGCTAAACCGAATCTGGGGGGGTGGTCAACCATATGATGTACGAGCACAGGAATTTCTTAAATGGAAGGGTCCCCTAACTCCCATTGATTTCCCAACAGCTCAGGTTTAAATAGACCTAATTCTGTGTTATATGGAAGAAAAACAGAAGTGCCAAGGTGACAGGCACATAGAACAAACCACAGCAGTTTGTAGAAGTTGAAAGAGTTCAGGCTTATTAGATAATGGGATGTGCAGAAGGAAACTTTGGGGAAATTGGGTGGCTTGCTGGACTAAAGGTCTCCTCCAGCCAGAAATGGCTGGTGGGTTACTATTGGAACCACCCTTAAAATGTTAACTTTAAATTCAATCAGCGCACCAGCAATAAAGCACGTTTTGCAGAAAAGATTTGCCCCCCTACATCATTTCAGCCCGGACTAATTGGGCCGAATGGGCCGTTTCCACGCTGTATGTTCTATGGAATGTCATAAATAACTGGGGGTGGGTTCCGGCCCCAGCACATAACTGGAGTGCTCATGAAGGATCATTCAGGAAGCACTACCTAGCTCTCTGCCAGATGTTGTGCGACCTGCTGCGATTTTCCAGCCCTCAAGTTACATTTCTGATTTCCAGCATCTGCTGCTTTTTTTTTTACAGATGTTCTAACACTCTGCAAATGGATGGACAAATGAATGCTTTGTGTGTGGTAGTTTGAGGGGGGTAAGAAAATACTCATTCGGAGAGGGGGTGAGGAGCTCGTTTTGTTAGCATTTTGTCTTCTGCTAGACATGGCATTGAAATGACCTCATTTTTAGTTCATGCAAATGCAGAGAGAAACCATCCCCAGCTTCAGAGAATGTCCTGCTGGAACAAGGGGCTATTTTATTACCATGCAAAGATCATACAAAACAGTCAGGAGGTAACTGCAGGGCTATCAAGAACCACAATTTGTCTATTGCAACTGGGTCAAATTATTCCCATCTCTGCTGGATGTTTTTTTTCTAAGGAACATTCTCAACACAAGGTTAGTTCAGGTTTAGAGCTAGTCTTATGACATTTGATGACTGCTCAGACTGAAAATATCAGGCAAATTTTCTGTAGTCAAATTCGAGCAAAGTGACATTGTATTCATGGTTTCAGCACAATCTTGGCCACTGAATGCCTGCAGCAGCCACCTTTCAGAATACAGGTTTGCATGAAAAAAGGGTCAGCAAGTTTAACGATTTCCAACTGTGTCAGAAACATTCAGTATTGTGTGTACAACTAGAGAATAATAATCCTTGCGTATGATAAAGCTCCTTATCACATCTTCGAGACATCTCAAACGCACAACGCGGCAGTCAATTGTGCCCAGCCGTGTCCCACAAATAGTCGTGGATTGAGTGACCAAATAATTTTAATTTATTTTTGAAGGAATTTTACCCCGGAAAAGTAACCCACCAATCAACTAACAACTGGGTTCCTACTTATTGCTAGGTGAACAGAGGTGTGTGGAGTAAGGAAACTTGCCTAATGTTTCATCCTGCCCGGAGATCAAACCCAGGTCCTCTCACTTGCGAGGCCAGTGCTCTAACCAACCAGCTAGAGGACTATACAGAATGCATTTGATGTATGTGACGCCTGTGGCTGAAAGAAAGCCAGGCTTAATTTGTGGAGATCTGGCAGTGGAATAATGAGGAGTTTTTCCCTTGATTGACTTTGATGCTCTTGCCTCAAAAGGTTACTAGGGTATGTAATTCCTCACCAGTGGTTATACTAAGGCTGAATCAATAGCACCATTCAAGAGGGAGCTAGGTGAGCACCAGAGAAATAAAAATATTTAAAGGATATGGGGAAACAGGGAGTGATAAAATGTATCCAGGCATAATGGGCTGAATTTCAGCAATTCAAGATACTGCCCCACGTGAAGGGCCAGCTATACATGTGTAAGTTGTTGAATGACATCAATCTGCTGAAAATTTAAACATTTGCATGCAGCACTTTAACCTCATCTTGTTGGCTGAGCTCGCTCCAAGACGACATGCTTCACAGCAGAATGCAACAATCAGGTTTATTTTCTATGGACAAAACGCAAAATATTGCAGATGCTGGAAATCTGAAACAAAAACAGGAGTTGCTGGGAACACTCAGCAGGTCAGGCAGCATCTATGGAGAAAGGAAAGTGAGTTAACGTTTCGGGGCCACAACTCGGTTCTGATGAAGGGTCGTGGACACGAAACGTTGACTCACTTTCCTTTCTCCATAGATGCTGCCTCACCTGCTGAGTGTTCCCAGCGACTTCTATTTTTATCTTCCATGGATATCTCCATAGTCCGGTTCTTAACCCAGGTGGGTCTGCAATACTGCACAGAATGGGAGCTAAGCGGGTCTTCTTGCACCTGAACTGGCTTCAAAGTGACATGTTTGTCAATGGAATGTCAGAATCAAGTCCATCTTTTGTGGTGGTTTCGGTAGTCCTGTTCCTGAGCCAGGCGGGTCCACAGTATTCCAGGGCACTGCTGGTGACAGCACTGCCAGGCTGGATCATTGGTAGGACTTGGAAGGACATATCAGTCACTGGGGGCAGGGACTCTTCCCACTCAGCTCCTGTTAACACTGTAAGCCAAAGCCCTAACAGGTAGGGAGGTCCTAGCTGGACAAGCAGCAGGAATATTTGTCAGGCTGTTTCAACAGAAAGCTATGCAGTTTTAGTTCATTAGAGTCCAGTAGTACCCCAAAGCAACACTCTGGGGTCCCCAAGCCTTGGCTCTTGCTAACCTGTGCCTAATACTTTCTGGATTATGTAAGCAGGATGCGGCCCTCCAAGGAGAGAATGGGGATTCCATTTCAATAAATATCTCTGAAATTTCCATGTACAGGTGGGATGCATGGAACGGGTTTGGTTGGAATACTCTTAAGTATGGTGATGGGTTTCCGAATGCATCAGACTTCCAGGCTCACCAAAAAAAACATAAAATTAGCACTTCACAAACAATGGGATGTGCACTAAGGTCATCGGAGAATGAGTTCTGAGTTGTAATGTTAAACATCCGGCATACTTAACTCCAACAAAATGGCAACTTCATTGTGACTCCTAATTGAGAAACAGTAAAAGAACAAGGGCATGAAGCTGGGAGAAATGACATTTAGTGAAAATCTCTTCTGAATAAGTTTCCTTACACTGAAGCCTGAATGTCAGCCCTAAAGCGTGCATTATTTATCATTAGAAGATGTAATTGCTCTTGGAAGTCTGTCCAATTTGACGTAATGCACCGGAACGCAGTAAATTGAACAAAGAAACAGTAAAACAAACAAGCACGTCAGATACTTTGTTCTGACAGAAAACAGCTCCTGATGTACAGCTCATTTTACACTGTGGGGGTGAGGCTCTCAGTCTGCAATGTAAAAAGCAGCAGAATCCTCAAATCATGGAGAAAGGAAATGAATTTAAAAACAATACTTACCATTGATTTCGTATGGAAACAAGCTGCCACTTTTATTCAGTTTCTCAGATGAGTGCTGAAATCAACCAGAGAAAAAAAAACATTTCAACACCACGGAAATAGGGATGGTGTGACAACGTCCAGGCAAAGGTGTACAAAAATCCTGAAATGGACCAGGAATTATCCTCAGAAATTAAAGGTTTGTTTTTTCCACAGTACTAACTCCTAGGCAACCTCTTGAGGACTTGCCTATTGCGTTAAGATACCGTGCAACATTCACAGAAAAGAACACAGTATGACACATGTAGAGCACACGCAAAACATTCAAAATGGCATGCTCCAAATGATCAAGCAAGAAGCAATTTGCAAAGATTTATTTGCCCAGTTTGCAACACCCTAGGTTATCCTTACATTTGATATAGCGCCTTATCACATCGTTGAGATGTCTCAAACGCTTCACAGAATATATTGTAAAGTGGATCGACTGTATTTTGTGGGCAAAACAACAATACTAGTTTACTCAGCATTAAGTGCCAGTTTACTCAGCATTTAAAATGAACAGCAATGAAAGCTCAAAAAGGTTTCCCTCAAAGCTCTCACTCAAGATACCTACCCGATACTGCATTTGCACCTACACCAAAATTGCATTTAACAGGTTCGTCTACCCAACCCAAGCACTAGATTTACCAAAAAACATTTTGTAAAAGTCAAAAACACAACATCCATAAGGACCCTCGTCCATCCCATCCATTGTATTACAATGTTCCAGCTTTTTACTTCAGCTACAGGTTTAAAATATACAAATCAGCCAGAATCCAAAGGATTCTTAATAAGGAACCTTGTAAATAGTGAAAGATGCCAGAACAGATAACATTGTTCAGAGACTTTCATTGCATGCACATTTGTGCTGTTAGAAATAAATGTCCTTGTGCAATGCTGCTAAGGGTTATTTTGTCCTGGGAGATTTGTAGTGCTGCCAATCCCAGTACACACACTAGTTCTGGAGCCGCGATCACAAGAACCTCTTTAATTGGCAACATTATGAACTCGGCCCTCGTGCTAGTCAGATGGCTTATTGAGGGTTAATAGGATTTCCAAGACAGTGTGCTTAGTGCACCCAATAGGGTAGAGTTCTGTGAGGAGTCATGTAGTGGATTAAACACTGTAATTTGTAGAAAATTAAAATGCACCTACCCACATAGCTGTACAGCTGAACGTGGGGCAGGGGGTATATGAAAGAAAATTAAATTTAACAGCAGCAAGATAAGACTTTCAAAGAGGAACAAATCAAGTTATCTGGGAAATAAGCTAGCCAGTTTTGAAGCAGCTATTTGGTTACAGATTTCACGGTCAATTCAACAACAACAACTCGCTTTTATATATCGTTCGTCACGTGGGGTAGCGTCTTGGAGCACTTAACGGTGGCAGGGCCTAACTCCAAGCTGGGGGGAGGTGACCATAAGCACGGAAGAAGCGGAAAGTGGGGGCAAGATGGCGGGATTAAGGGAGAGAGTTCCAAAGCTTCGGGGCATAGAAGCTGAAAGCTTTGTTGATGGTGATGGTGGAGCGTAGGGCACGAGGGACATGTGGGAGGCCAGAGCCGGCCAAATGGAGGCGGCAATCAGTGGAGTGAAGAAAGAGGTCAGAAAGGTAGGGAGGTGTCAGGGTATGAAGGGATGTGTAGACAATTCAAGGTTGGACTTGTTAAAGAACCAGAAATCTCTATTGCACAGCTCCCAAAAGATCCCGATAGCTTTGCGCAATGTAGTTTTTTTGGTTGGGGGTCGGGCATTGTTGAAAACCTTCGGTCCCATCACTGTGAAGAAAATTCTAGTAATAATCTCTCCAGAATGTTGCTTCGCCTCCCACCCGCACACTATTTCACTCTGCATTGAAACAACAGGATTTTATGCATTCATGTTCTGCTTCGTTGTGGAGTCCTGTAGCTCAGTGGTTAGAGCACTCGCTTTGCAGATGAGAGACCTGAGTTCAATTCCAGGCAGAGGGCGAAACCTTGGGCAAGTTTCCTTACTCCACACACCTAATAATAATCACTCCAAAACCAAAAACAATAATAAATTGGTCATTTTCAATCTACGGCTGTTGGAGGGACACCGCTGTGCGCAATTGGCTGCCGCGTTCGCCCACAAATATACAGTCAATTCACTTTACAGTATATTCTGTGAAGCGCTTTGGGACGTCCTCCCGACGTGACAAGCGCTATATCAAATGCAAGGATTATTATTATTATTATTATTATTATTATCCCTTGACCTGCAATATAGACAGGGGTATTCCTCTATCTCAACCCAAACTCAGCTCATTTTTCAGAGAAACTAAATTTCAGGTTCATCAGCCACTTAACATTTGGCACAGCAACAAGGCTGAAATAAAAACTGGGAAACTTCAATCTGAACAGAAGTTTTGCTTGTGGCTTGCATTTATTCTTAAGGTGAAGAAATCGCTCCTTCAGTGCTGAAAATTCATGTTCAGAAGGCAAGGTGTTTGATTTCCTGCCCGTATGTTCTTGCTTACAGAACCAACTGTCGCTAAACCCTAACTGTTAAAACCAAATTTGACGCAAATGGATTTCACAAAGCAGGATTCAGCAGTGGAGTATTTGCATAACGTCTGGTTCCTTTTCACTACCTGTTCTCCTTTGTCTGCCTTCACAACAGGCTGCTTTATGAGGGGGTACAAACTACACAAAGCACTGGGTTTCAGAACGATGACCAGGCTCAAGTAGTTCAGACAAACACTTACCATCCCATTTCCTGACAGATAAAAGCTATAAAGCCAAGGCCCCACACCAGGACTGGAGCTCAGAAACTACGACGGGACTCCAATATAGTGCTCAGGTAACCAGATGGATATCCCATGGCACCATTTCAAATGAGAGCAGGAATTTCTTTCTTCCAATGTCCCAGGCTAGTATTCCGCTCTCATCTAAAATTAGCCAAGAAAACCATATATATGTCATAGTCTAGGGACTTGATGGTCCAAACAGCAGCAGTCACTTCACTTCAAAGTAAATATTTAAAACGTTTGAGAAGCTTCTCACTGGGGGAACTCCATCCCCCAGTGCCTTCGCCGTTTCCTCCCTTTCCTCCTTCAAGGCCGGTCTCAAGACCTTTCTCTTTGACCGAGCCTTCAGCTCCCTACCAAAACACTTAATTTAGAGTTTCAACAAAGCATTCTTGGCTTTATTGATAGAGACATACAGTATAAGAGCAAGGAAGTTATGTTGAACCTAGACCTCAGCTATTGTGTCCAATTCTGGGCTTTACACTTTAGGAAGGATGTCAGGGCTTTGGAGAGGGCGCAGCGAAGATTTACAAGAATTATACTAAAGAGATGAGGGACAACAATTATGTGGAGAGACTAGAGAGGCTTATTCTCCTTAGAGCAAAAAAGATTGAGGGGAGATTAAATAGAGGTGTTCAAAATTATGAGAGATTTTGATAGAATCGATAGAGAGACACTGTTTCCACTGGTAGGTGGGTCGGTAACCACGGCACATAGATTTAAAATAATTAGCCAAAGAACCAGAAGGGAGACGAGGAGAAATTTTTTTACTCAGAGAGTAGTTACGGTCTGGAATGCACTGCCTGAAAGGGTAGTGAATGTAGATTCGATAATAGCTTTCATAAGGGAATTGAATAAGTACCTAAAAAGGAAGAATTTGCAGGGCTATGGGATAAGAGTAAGGGAGTAAGACCAGTTTGTAGCTTTCAAAGAGTCAGCACAGGCACGATAGGCCGAATGGCCTCCTTCTGTGCTGTAAAATTCTATTCTATGAAAGCAATTGTTGCTTAGATAACCTGCTGGCACTCCCACCTCCGCGTCAGAAAGTGGTGGATTCAAGTCGCGTTGGGTTTATGAACCCACATAATTCTGACTTACACTCCCAACGTAATGCTGGAGTATGTTGCAGTGTTGGAGGTGCTGTCTTTCGGAAGAGACATTAAGTTTGAGGTCCTGTCTGCCTGTTCAGGAGGACTTTAAAGAACCCATGACATGATACAAAAAGAGAAGGGAATTTCTCCTGGTATCCCTGCCAACAATCTCCCAAATACAACTGTTCCTTATTTCATGAATGTTCGTGGCAGAATGTGTGCAAATTCGCTGCCTCATTGTCCTACAAATACACAGTCACTACACCTTAAGAGTAAAATCCTGTGAAGCGCTTTTGAGACATTTTCCTGACGTGAAAGGTGCTTCAAATGCAAGGATTATTAAGACATTTCAGGCCCGCTGGTAACCTCCAAAAAAAATCAACAATATCTCAAAGCAGCACCTTACAGTAATGCTAACTGGAAACTAAATCTCCTACAAGTCTAGAAACTGCCGACTGCGCTGAATGGCACCTCCCACATGGTATCCATTTGATTATAAAGCACCAACAATCTGGCCGATGATATTGAAGGAATTTGCACATAGGCAGGACGTGCAACACACTCCTGCGTGACCCTGACCAGGCTCAAAGAAGGTGTTTTTGGTAAAAATGTTGAAGCTCAGTTACTTTGCAAAGTTCAGGGGTGAGGGACTTTGTGCACATACGGATAAAGCAGCAACACCACCAGTTACTTTATCTAATCAGCACATTTGAGCATGAACGTGCAGCAAAGATGTCAGCTTGGGTGTCAACCCTTGAAAAAGGAGGCACCCCATTTCATGGTTATCTTGAAAGTAAGTTTGAAACCTGGGCCAGTTTGAAAAAGTGTAAATAAACTGTAGCAATTTCAGGCAGGTGGGGAGCATCTGTGCAGCTTCCTCACCTATCTGATCTCCCATAAGATTCCTTTGATAATAATAATCCTTGAATTTCATATAGAGCCTTAGCACGTCTTTGAGACGTCTCAAAGCGCTTCACAGAATATACTGTAAAGTGAATTGATTGTATATTTTGTGGGTGAAACGTGGCAGCCAATTGCACACAGCAGGTGTGGATTGAATGACCAAACTATTATTTTTTTTAAAAGAGATTATTACCCCAGGAAAAGCAATCTGCCAATCAACTAACAACTAGGTTCCTACTTATTGATAGGTAAACAGAGGTGTGTGGAGTCAGGAAAC